CAACTCCCAATGGCTGGCTGGGGAATTCTGGGAGTTGAAGTCCACTCATCTTAAAGTGGCCAAGTTTGGACAACACTGCAGTACTTCTTTAACGGGCTTGGACAATACTGAATATTCTTACAGAGGCAGAGAGGATGAATCCATAATGCTTCTTGCACAGAACCTGAGGCATATACAGCACTTTATGCCATGATAGAAGGATGCTAAATTAGATAAATTTGGAATAGCATTATAGAAGAGGTAGATGAAGATACAAATTGAATAGCCAACATGTTAATTGTGCCAAATAAAGATATCAATGAAATCTTTCAAGCTGAGGATAGTAAATCAAGGCTGCAGTGAGGGAGTGCTAACCTGTGCCAATAGACCGATATTTTCCATGCTATGTAAGGTGCAGAGATTTTTGCTGAATTAGTTGCCACCAACGGTGCAGACTTCTACAGGGTGCTCTTGGTGCTGCCTGTATATGAATGTTGTTGTTGTCTACGTGGCCACTGTTGATAGCTCTACGATAGACTGACAGCAGTTTCAATAGAGGCGAATATTTATAATTCAACTCAGGGTTGAACTGTGGAGTACTTGGGGTTCTCTGAGCTTGGTTGTTTTCTTGCAAATGTTTCATTACCCAGCTAGGTAACATCACTTTGGTCTTCAATAAATGTTACAGGTCATCCTTTGCATCAATTAACTACACCAAAGATGATAGTGTTTTAATCATAAGCATCTGAAAAAGGCTCCATCTCAACTGGAATGCCGTGAGGTAGTGATTCCTTCTCCTTCTGACATGGGGCCTCCTGCATTTCAGGATCCTGGGGCCAGGGAGAGCAGTTCTGTGGAAGCTAGAAATCCTAATGAGAATTTCATTCAGTTGATGAGAACCTGAACTGGCAGAGTTCATAGAATCATAGATCATAGTGTTGGAAGGGACCTTGGAGGTCTTCTAGTCTAACCACCTGCCCAAGGCAGGAGTCCTCATACCATCTCGGACAAATGGTTGTCCAATCTTTTCTTGAAAACCTCCAGTGATGGAGTGCACACAACTCTGGGAGGCAAGCTGTTCCACTGCTTAATAGTTCTGTCAGGAAATTCCTCATTTCCAGGTTGGATCTCCCTCTGACAAGCTTCCACCCACTGCTTCTTGTCCTACCCTCAGGTGCTATGGAGAATAACTCGATGCCCTCTTCCCCGTAGCAGCCCTTCAAGTATTGGTAGATTGCTATTGTGCCTCCCCTCAGTTGTTAGAAGACCCTCCAGATTTCATGGTGGATGTATGTAGTTTGTGGTGAGGTATTCTGTGGATGGTTTAGTCTCTTTTGTCTTTGGAATGGTAATATTCTATAATGTTAGAAGAGTTGGTTTATTACCATTTGTTTTTGTCTAACAAAGGAAGGGATGTAGTATATAGCTCTACAAATTCCAGGAGACAATACAACCAGGCAGGAAGTTTGGAGAGGAGAGATGAAATAAAGAACTGTGATAGTGCTATGTCTAAAGCTGTTTTTTATTTTTATTTTATTTTATTTAACACACACACACACACAGTTTTAAGTTATGACTTCTCTGCAATCTATGGTAAGAATCCTTAAGAAAAAAACAAACTATAAAATATAGAAAAGGTGCCATACACTGGCTCACTGTTATACTCTTTTTTTTTTTTAGGATTTTTAGATCAGAATAATATTAGGAAATGCAGTATCAGGTATGGTTATGCTGATACTTTTTATATACATGCACACACAGACACACAAACTTAAATTCTATGGACTAGGGGGCAAAACTGAGCCTTTACATACTCAAATATTTGTAAACTTTTAAATACAGGCATACCTCGTTTTATTGCGCTTCTCTTTATTACACTTCACAGATATTGCATTTATCAAACAGCATCGCATGCTACAGAGAAATCTTTCGTGAAAGGAAGAGTCAATCAACACGGCAAACTTAATTGTCCTATTTTAAGAATTTTTAAAATTAAGGTATGTACATTTTTTTTTAGATGTAATGCTATTGCACACTTAATAGACTACAGTATAGTGTAAACATAACTTTTATATGCACTGGGAAACCAAAAAATTAATGTGACTTGCTTTATTGTGGTGGTCTGGAACTGAATCCGCTATATCTTTGAGGTATGCCTGTAATGTATTTTACATGGATACTTTATTTACCCATGAATACAGTTTGGAAGAAATAAACAAATGTAAGAGCTGGCCTGCAAGACAAGATTTCAGTGAGCGATGTCACAAACTCTCCCACTTATATGAAAGAATATTTTCTAAGTCATAAAACCATAGATCAGAGTGCCACAGAGAAAGGGTTGCACACATCTGTTCTACTGGTTCACATTTAATATTTCCCGGTGATCTTCCATAATGTTTTTGAGATACTGTAGCTAGGAGAAAAACCTGTCTAGGCAGTGTTTGCATGCCATGGAAAATGCCTATTTCCGGAATGCACATTGTAAGCACAGCAACCCCATGTGTTTTCATACATTTGGAAATGTTATTTTTAAACTTAAAATGCTACATTTCACTGTTCAGATTCATAAGGCATTCTCAGAAATCTGAAGGTTGTGCTAATTTCTTTAACATTAATCAAAAGTCCTAATTTTCCTGAAATGTAATGTCAGTTATACACCTTCTTCTCCATGAAATCCATCTTCATGAAATCTGTTTTATTTTGGGTCAGCGTTCCGCTTTGCAATCATGTTCTGTGTAAAAAGCAGATTATAGAAACTCCCTTTTCTCATCTTAAGACATTCTAGAAAATAGAATTTGATACAGAATAATGCATCAGTTTAAGTTTAAAGATTCCCAACAATATTTATTTTGAGAACAAAATACTTTATTTGTCAATAAAACTATAGTTTACAGTAGAATATACTAAATAAATTAAGTAATTTATCCTTTACAAGCAATATATCTAATCACAAATATTTCAAAGACAATATATGTACACAACATAAGGCTTTGTTATAAATAGCTTTTTTATTTCACTAATAAACAGTGAAAATTTCTTTATAGAAGATAGTTTCCATAAAGTTATGTGCAGACATACTAACTCTGGTATGAAATTAACAGATGAGCAATCATAATTCTGGGGGAAGGGGAGTAAAGCAGAGTTGATTTATAGAATAATCATCACTGTGAAGATGGCTCTTTAAATAGGAAAGGCAGATTAGATATTTTCGTCCATGATCACTGAATACATGCAAATGAAAATATCACCTTCGAGTCCTGAAAAGACAATAGGAAAAGTAGAAGCAGCAGCTGAAAGGGTGGAAATGCAAGGCTTCGCAGTTCAGCAGGCAACAGCACGCTATAATAAATTGTGGAATGTTTCCCATCTCATCTGCTGGGTCTACGTCTAGTTCAAGAACTGTTGGATGATTTCTGTAGAGCTCTGTTGATTAGGACTTTGTTTACCAGGCTTGGCAAAATTTTCCTCATAAATCTGGAGTGCAGAAAGTGCTTTTGTTAAAATAGACTCATTTTCTTTCATGTTCTGTTACTGTAAAAGAAAAAAAAATGAAAACATTTTACAAAGAACAAGCAAAACCCAGTAGTCCATTTTCTTACTTAAACGTGTAAAGCTGGAAGATGTTTTGCTGCCTTTGTACACTGCTTTTTGTCCTAGGATAGTTATATATAAATCTTTCTGTAGTAACCTTGGTCTAATATCATATTTATTATACATGAATGACAGCTACCTGCTACAATGATGTATTTTTCTTCTTCTAAAAATCCAAAATGTTATATTAGAAATCTATTTTTGAAAAATACTTTGGCAGTTAAAACTGAATCTCCAGTGGCACAATAATATTTGGCACGTTTTTATGTTCTGCTCCCTACTCTTACATGTACGTTTGCCTTCCCATATCCCTTCTCCCTTTCTCTCCATATCTCTCTCTTTTTGGGTGGGTGGGTGTTCCAGTTCTACTACAAGTGACCAAATCTACTGCAATTGCAGATTAATGGGTACAAAGGATATACGCTGAAAAAAAAAAGTTCCTTGAGATAAATGATCTTGCCCTATTTTCAATCTTTAGAAACAGAAATGTAAACTAATAATAAGATAACAAACATGCTGCCTATATGCCTGCTGAATATTCCTGGTAGAAAATATAAGTGGCTCAATATCAGACTAATAACGTATCACTCTTTCTTCATGTGATACACTTTATTAGAAAAACATGTCTGTGTATTTCAGGAAAGTAACATCTTTGAGTTGAAGGGCTGTACCGCCCCCCAGGGAATTTTATGGGAGGACTGGTTGTGGGGCCACAATATAATATCACATGCACAGTCAGAATTAAGACTGCTAGAAAGTCTGGTCTCAAAGGCTGTTCCTTCTCTACCTATTTTTAGTAATATCAATGTTTCTCTGCTGCTTACACAATAGCTTATAAAAATTATACTAAACTTGAACTCTGTGAGATCTAAACATCTTACTATATGACTTCACATTAATTTTGTCACATTGGTATGAACTATATTAACATATTCAGTTTTAAATTAAATTGTGCACAGGCTTCTAATATTTTTTTTAAAATTCTGATTGCTATTTATCTAAAAATCTTATAAATTAGAAAAAAAAAATAACCCCCCCAAAAAACCTCACGAAGCTATTTTTATAGCCTTACGTGAACTTAATATTTCTGGTAGAATCAATCTAACTTTATTAACAGAGAAATAAATGTTGGGAAGCATGTTGAAAATCTAACACAGCTCAAAAAAAAAATGTACCCAGCAACTATAAATTATACTCAGTTATACTGAAAATGTTGGTAACCATCCATGGTTCCTGGCATGAGGCATAGAATACATATGGTGCAGCATAATTAGATAATACGTGAGATACCGATGATACTCCATAACATATTATTTATCAACTGCACATGGATAGCAGTATTGTGGTACTCACTGGAGCAATCCTTCCCAGCCTGGCATCCTTCAGATATGTTGGGCTACAGTTCATAGGAAATGCAGTCCTAACACATGTGGAGGCTGCGAGGTTGAAGATATCGTGCCACTGGGTAAAGCCCCTAAAAATGTAGAACCGCGTTAAAGTTAATTACACAGGCATCTGCGATGGAAGTATTCAGTAGATTGGAAAAGTTATCAGTATCTTTCAAGTAATGTAAAGCATATAAATTTAATAAATAAATGAATAAAATAAATGCAAAATACACTGTATTCCAAACTCAGATATCCAAAGTCATGTGGGATAGCAATATTTTAAAGGTCTCTAAATCAATACACTATCAGAGATAGATCTAAAGATCCTTTCTATTTCAGACAGGATGCTGAAATTACATGTCAATCTAAATTTTTATCTTAGCATCTTCTGGAGATTGTGAGGCTAAAGTGTATGTAAAGGAAGCAGGGATGAAACCTGGAAAACCCTAAGTAGGAATGTATATACTGTTGAGCAAGGCAAGAAATTAGACAAAGAAAGAATTATCTGTTGCTCTATCTTCATACAGGAAAGAAAAAGAAGTTGGTTTACTGTTCAAATCTAAGCTTTATTAGTTGGAGTTCTCACTTTTATACTGCCTATTAATTACATGAAAGCTAAGATAGCTGTATAATAACAACCTACTAGCACAATTCCAGCTAAAAGATCATGTTGGTAATTAATCTTTTCTTCAGAATCTCTTGTATTAGATTTATTCCCATGCTTTAAAACTGGGGGTGATGTTTTTGTGACCCATATTTTTTCCTGTTTAAATATAAAACAGGTAAGTGGGCACAACTGATCTATAGTGCAGTTAAATTTACAAATCTAAAAAGATTTTTTAAAACTGAACTTATGAAGCTGATAATTGTGATAAGTAGCAGTACATTATTGTATTGTCCTGGACTCCCCTGGCAAATACAAAGTTAGACATTTCATACATACATATATATGAATGACCAGTCAAGTCAAATAAAAAATTCCTATCCTATTTTATCAGCAATAGGTGGCAGCATTGTGTTTTGAAAAATAATATGAAACTTGTTACTGTTTCTTTGAAGACTCAGAATATACTAGTTTTGGCAATTACATTAATTCATTTAACAAAATAGTTGCAATGCTGATTTTAATACCAACTTGCTAAATAACTGGTAAGATGCTGATGGTCACATTATAATTGAATTATTCCATGCTCTGCATGAAATTATTAGATTTAACACATGCATGATTTGACCTTATCAAGTGTGGGAAAATCCCAACATAGAGCACGCTTGGAAAACTGTCCACAGAATAATCACCAGGATTAATCTCTGTTCAAAATCTGCTCATTCTTATTTAGTTTATCATTACTTCCAGTAGTGACACATATCACAGCCACTGATCACAGAACCTGATCAAAAGACACTGAGATTTTATGTTAGGCACTCCACATCTCATGGCACTGAATCCTGTATTTGTTTTGTTTAGCTTTTTACTTCATGTTCTTCCCCCCCCCCGGTATGCTTTGAATTTATTGTGAGTTATCTTGCATTCATGCACAAAGATGGTCATAACAAGAAGGTACTAAATCATCTTAGAATAATGTTTTACTTTAAAATGAAAGCAGAGATTTCTAACAGAATCTTGGCTTCTTGGATCAAGCTTTTCACTCAGAGTAACTAGGGTGCCTGTGTATATGAATGCTAACACTTGGACAAAAAAGCAAAAACAAAGACTGTTTATTGGCGATTTCCACTTTTTGTTGCTTTGCTACAAACTTTGACTCAAGAGGAGGCTGCTGTGTTATTCTCAAAAGTAATAGACTCACAAACAGTTCACATCTCAAAAGGAATCACTAAAGTGTCAACCTAGTGCTTGTAGTGCATAAAGACATAAAATATACTAATACTTAGATCCTGTCTCTCTCTCCATACATACAACAAAAAAGAAATGACACAGAAGAAGCACGCACACACACACACACATGTAAATTTAGTGAGAGAGACCCAGAGTTAAAGCAGCTGATAGAATGGATTTGCAGCTAAGTAACAAAGTGTATTTATTCTGAGTATTGTAGTTAAAATCAGTCAAATCTAGAACATTAAAGCTGCACTTCCTGAGAAGAGGACCGCACTATGCTATCTACAGTTTCTTTCTACAGTTACCCTGCAGGTAACTCTTAAAATTAATAAAAATTAAAAATGGATTCAAATGTCCTGACATCTGCCATCAACATCTGTTGAATATGGTGGCACTGCTGATATAGGCAGTTGCTGGAAGCTATTCTGACATTATTCATAACAATTCCCCCTCCACAGAATCTATACCACTTTTTTAAAGGTGTATTTTATTTCTTAAAATATAATAAATAACTTTAGTGGCAAAACACACTATCGAATACAATCCTAAAACAGGATTATTTATAGTAGTATTCCCAAACATGATCTATTTTAATCAATATGTGAATGAAAATGAAAGACTCTTGGTAACTAAAACAGAATAAATTGTAAGAATAACCAACTTGCTAATTCAATCACAGCTACAAAAGTTATGAAGAGAAAATGTTGCTCTCCAAATGGTCAGTGACAGTTTCAAGCTGACCCATGGTCATCTTCATTACTGGGACCCTTGAAACACAAAGACTGTGCATTATGCAATCAGTGGAGACCACATAACATGACCTCTAACCTGTGGTTCATCCTCCCATGTTTAAGACTCGTCACTTAAAACATCTGAGTATTGACAAGTCAGCAAGGTGCCATAACCACATCTTAATTTTAACTTAAGCTGCATAGGGAATAAGAAGTGCTCAGGAGGCAAGAGTTGAGTGGCAGGATGAAGCAAGAATTCCCACTTGGGGGAAATGGATTCATCCACGCTCTGCAAAATTCCAGTGCTTTACTTGAAAATAATTTTCCTGAACTGGAAATAAATCCATTACTAAATAAGGATGTAAACACAATGTATGGAGGTGCTCAGAATTAGAGCATCCTGCATTATCAATTTTGTTAAAATACAAAGAGATAAACTGGTAATATGTTACGTTTTCTATATTATGGGAAGGCATACTTAAGAATGAAATATTTATACTATACATGAGCAGATTACAACACACAATCAAGTCAAGTTGAAACATAAACACTTAAAAATGTAATAAAAACACAAGTAAAATGATTGGACAACTTACTAAATATACATCCAGGACAGAAGCATTATCAGTCTCAGTTTCCACTGTGCTCTGTTCTGAAGTCAAGCAGATCGCACTATCTTCTAAAGTGAATGTTGAACTTGAAGGCAATCCTTTACTGGATAGAAAAAGAATATACAATGAATATTAATAAAACGAAGAACCATTTTGGCCTTTTCTGGCCTATTAAAGAGCTTTTTTCACATTTGTCAAGCTCTGGTTAATGCTGGGTTGCCATGCAACTGTACCAAAAAATTATTTAATCAAAGCCCAAGCCCTTTGGCATCCAGAAACTTGTCAGGCCTCAATACTGCAATATTCTGGCTGCAACTTGCAGCAGAAGAAAAGTTATGAAAGGCCTGGAGAAAAGATCACAACAAGGAACCTTTGGTTGTTGTGGGATGACCCCTAAGCGGAAGAATGCTTGGAGATTAGCATAATACAGTTGTAGCTATTAAGAAGGATTTATATGAGTGCTGCTGAGCTGATCTCCAGTTTTTTCTCCATATGTACAATCTCTTGAATTTTGATTTCACTATATTTTTCTAGCATGCATTATATTAAAATACCTAACAGGAACAATAGGGGTATTCTTTTGGATAATTAAAAAGCCCTGGCTAATTATACATCTTCATTAGATTCCAATGCTACAAAAGCCACCTCCCAGCATTACTTTGGGGGAAAACTGGTCAGGTATAAATTGTTATTTGTAATGTTTAAAAATAAACTAAATGTATTTATACACCATGATTTCCAAAAGTCAGCAGCCTAATGGCATTTCTGCATTCTTTGTCTGTTTATACACATGACATCTCCATACAACTTAGGAGCTGTTATGTTATTATGGTTATTTGGAAACAGGAAAAGCAAAACCTGATACACCCATAGAATGAGCCAGGCTCCAGCGTGAGTGATATGTCATGGCTTTTCCTGTTTTATTCATCTCATGCTATAAATATATTATTACAGCTGTGACTATATAATCTGCAACATTAAAGAGTTTATTCATGTCTTTTACAGAGATTTTACAGCCATTAGTAATTCAAAGAAAGAAAAATAAACAGTAACATTTCCATAAAAAGCTGAAGGCTGTAGACACCTTCTATAAAAATAGGAAGGGAAGTACTCCTATAACATAACATATACACACATCTCAATGAGAAAGAAAGCAGTTCAGGCAGCTCTATATCCATACATCTAATCTGGTTTCACAGATAAATTACTATGGCTTGAGCAAGATTCCTATTCATGTATGAGGCACCTCACCAGAGCAGGCCAAAGTTTCATCATGCTTTAAGAATGCAGAGGTTCATAAGCTGAAGCCCAAAGATACAGGGCATGCCTAAAGGATTTACTTCTGCAGGGCTAAAAGCTAACAATTGTGGCACAAGTGGGCTTTAGAAACCATTATTTCCAGGCAGACATTGCTGGAAATATTGCTTGCTTTCAACCACCCAGAAATGTGATCAATAAATAATCCTCATAGAATGTGTCCAAATTTGCTTTTAGCTCCACAGGACTTGTGCAATTAGAGTAATTTCAAGTCATTTGATCTGTATCATAACTAAATTTGCCAAGTCACTTAGAAACCCTAGCTGGTATATGCTGTGCATTCCGTACTACAGGCAAACCACTGAACTGCTCTGAATTGCTATGCAGAATGCTAAAACTGAACATTTCAACAGTTTGAAAACAGACCTTAAAGAACTTAGTATAGCATTTTCTTTCATGTATAATATAATATATATTAAATAATCTATTTATTCTGTCACTGTATTTAGCTGCTATTAGTTAGTGAGAACAGGATGAAAACTTGAGAGAATTCTAAGTTAATACTCATGGTATCAGCAAGAGCATCTTTTAAATTGCCCTTCCAAGAAGCCATTAAACCATCTTTAAGTTGGCTCCAAACTTTGAGCCTGGGATTCTTATTGGAACATTCAACCTAATCAACAAATTGATTTACATTTACATCTTTCTGATGGATTACACATTTTAAAAAATATCTTGCAGGAGCCTTGATCTAGTTGCTGTTGCTTCTGTAAGTACTTGCTTTCAGCTAATACCAGCTACTTTGATTAATGAATGTATCTAATTATGATGGTTCAGTAAATTTATGCATAGGAATTCCAGAGATGGAATAATAATTCCCATGTTCTATATGTTGCTCATAATACTCTGAATCATGTTCTGCATTGCTATTTTGGCATTTGGTATCATGAACTAGGTCAGAAAAGACAGCATAAACATTCTCTTTATACCTGATTGTCAGCTTTGAGAATCTACACAAAACTATTCAGAATGAGCAAATGATTGCAGTAATTATCCTTTTGTTTGAAGTCTCTGATGTGATAATTATGCTGTTCATTTTTTAAATTTAGTAATTCTATTTTCTAAAATTTCTAAAATTTTCTATTTTAAAAAATTATCTGTAATATCTGGAAAGTTATAGTGGCCTTTAACTGAAAATTATAAAACATTTATTTAGGTGCAAGAATTTTTATCACTCCTCAATAGTGTTATCAAACCATTTTAAGCACCCAGAATACTGCAAAATCCTCCCACATTGTCAAAATAAATGTGAAGCCAGAGAAAAATAACTGCATCAGCATTTATATCAATTTAATTAATTTCTTTAGTGAAAGAAACGCCATTGCTTTACAAAATATTTCAGCAGATGAAATACTAATCAAGCTGTTTGACTTTATAATCCCCTTAGGAGTGTACGGGGGGGGGGGCGGAAATCACTTTGCATCTCCACTTTGGCTAGAAAGACACATTTTAGGTGCATGTGTGCAAGTTTGGACCTGCTTGACTTTGGATTGAAGACACAGCCTTGCTTTTTCTGACATTAGGTTTTCTGAATCCTGATGAATATGTATCAGACAATTGACGGTACAGTAGTATGAACAGGATTGTTCAAGTCAGCCATAAAAAGTGGGAAATAAACTTGAGCCCCTAGAAATGTCTGGTGAAGGAAAGTTCTCCCCTAACAAATATCACCAAAGGTATTTGCTTGTGGGGGACAAGTAAATACAGAATTTTCAGGGTATAGCTTCTCTACATCTCTCCCCAGATGGTAACAACACAGGTAAGTGATGTGGATTTAAAGTTTTAGAAACTGCTCTTTTTGCTTCACTTGCCCAAGATCCAATTATTTCTGCAGCATTTTGAGTTTATACTTGGATTTTGTTCAAATCGGATGCACATTCATAACTTTGCAGGTTTTGCATATTAAAATGGAATTTTTTTGAGAGTGGAAAGTTGGAATTCTATTAAAGAATTCCTAATGTAACACATATGGTTAAGAAAGAGTATCACAGAGAAATGTTAAGAAGATTTGCTTTAGTAATTCCACAGAAAGTACATACGCAGGATTTTACACCAGAGTATTATAGAACTAAACTAACTAAACTCTATAGGACTATACCATCTTGGTGCTGGCTGGGGTTGCACTGCCCCAAACAGACCCTATGCGCAATCTGGGGATCCTCCTGGACTCACAACTCCTGCTCAATGATCAGGTAGCAGTAGTGGCCTTTGCACAACTTGGTATTAGGTGCCAGTTATGCCCGTTCCTAGATCAAGGGGCCCTACTGATGGTCACTCATGCCCTGGTCACCTCCCAGTTGGATTACTGCAATGTGCTCTACATGGGAGCTGCCCTAGAAGAGTATCTGGAAACTTCAGCTGGTGCAAAATGCAGCAGCACAAGCAGTTGGGTGTGTTTCTGGTAGAACACGTTACACCTCTGCTTTGTGAGCTGCATTGGTTACCAATTTGTTTCTGGGTCCAATTCAGGATGCTGGTATTGACCTTTAAAGCCTTTCATGGCATGGGACCAGGCTACTTAAGGGACTGCCTGTCCCCGATTTCATCTACCCGTCCCACCAGATCCAGCAGAGGGGGCATGTTATGGGTTCCGTCATCTAGGGAGCTATATTTGGCAGGCCCTAGGAAGCGGGCCTTTTCTGCTGTGGCGCCTGCATTGTGGAATCTTCTCCCCTGAGGTGAGGTTGGCCTCATCACTTCTGAGCTTCCAAAGCTCTCTCAAGACCTGGTTATGTCAGCAGGCCCAGGGACCTCAGGGGATGGGTGAACTTATGAGGTGGCTCCGTTATTATTAACATCTCCCTGTCTATTTTTTTTTTGTATTAACTCTGTTTTTATAGTTTTTAATGTTTTTTAATAATTAGTTAATAATAGTTTTAGGTATTTATTGTTTTAGTTCTGTTGTACACCACCCAGAGTCACTGGCTTTGTGAGATGGGCGGCTATATAAATTAGACAAATAAATAAAATAAATAAGCTAATATAACTAAACTGTTATATAATTCTTAGAGGAGGTGATTAAAATCTAACATCACCTTTTGTCCTTTCGTAATAAAAAAATTCCTTTACAAATCTTTAAGCTTGGCAACAGGGCTCGAAGTGGCATTATGGATTATTCATATATTTATTCCTTCTATGTGCGGCCATTTCTGTAAGAACACACAAAATAGCAAGATTCCAGTGCAACAAACTTAAAAATAAGCTCAGCTAGTATTTGGTTTTCCAACCACCAGGAGAACTTTTTGCTTTCTGGAATGCAAAGAAGTATTCCTTAAACCAAGCTTGGTTCTTGACTTCTTATGACTGCATGGATGTACCAAAGTTTTGTTCTTGGCAACAATATGGAAATATTGTTTTTTATTTCCCAGTGTAGTCTATAGCCTGAGAATCTCCTGTTGGCTTCCTATTCCAATAATAAACAAGCCCAATTCTGTTTAGTTTTTCAAGATTAAGTTAGGTTACTTGGGGCTGCCATCTACTGTGATATTGAAGCAAGGCCCCACTCAAAGGTGAAATGTTGCATCCAGCCCCCCCAAATTTGTGTCTTCTTTTTCTGGGCATCTTGCTTAGCTGTCTTCTCAGCCTGCTCTCAGCACTGAAATCCCCTGCAGTAGCTGTTACAGGGATTCTGTCTCAACCAGTTCAAGGAAACAAATTTTAGTAGACTTTTTCCTGTTTAATGGCTTAAACAGGTTGTGCTTATAATGCATTGTTCATTTCAAAGCTTGTTTAAAAAATGATATTTCATCAAACACACCGCATGTACTTATGATTGGGTACTGAAGTGAATCATAATAAAAATAAAATCTCTGCCCTACCCCGATTGTGTTTGCAAAAGTCATGCAGGTTGGAAGACAGGTGTGGGGATTTCCCAGGCCAACCTCATTACATTCTCTAGGATGACGCTAGCACGCTATCCTATTCAACACAACTGCTCTTTTCAGAACAGGTGAAAAACTGTTCACACTACAGTAAGTACAGTATGAATCAGCTATGTTCCTCAAAATACAACAAACTGATGAACAGCGGAGTTAGGAAGAATATTCCATCTTAAGGAATGTGATGTCCAGCTGTATTTCATCTATGCCCCTCTTTCAAAGTAAAGAGCTAGTAATATAAACTTCTGATGCCTAAACCCTATAGGGCAGGGTGTCCCAAACTGTGAGGGGTACCCCCCTTGGAATGGTACAGACAGAATCCAGGGGAGGTGTGAAGAACCTTTTAGTTGTACATTGTTACAATAAATCCACCTTTCCCAAAATACTAGTTTCAAGTGAGTAATGTGGTGGTGGAGGAGGCACAAACTTTGGTTTTTTAATTTTTATGTCTTTATTAAAAATAAACTTTCACTGTATTGTTTTCATTGTTCATTTGTGTTCATTTTGGTGTTCGGATTTTTAACAGAAGGTGTCTACATTAAGATTACACTAAAGGGAGGTGTGATGGCAAAATGTTTAGGAACCCCTGCTATAGGGCATCTGTAGTTACTACAAACATAAACGCTTCCTTCATTACAGGTTAGGATCCATTAGTAGATATCTACTAGATTACTGAATTAGCATCTTGGCCAGCCAACTCTATCCTGGTGCTTTTCAGATGCTTGGAACTAAAACTCCCATAATTCCAAGCCAGCATCTCCTGCCTCCTACTAATGTATTTCCTTTCTTGCTTTCATAGTCAAAATAGCCTTGGAGTTGCAAAACAATGGCTTTTCTCTTTATATGCAGCAATGTATTCTACTCTGTATTTTAATTATGGATATTTAATTAAATATGCCAGTTGCTCCAAATTAACAGAGACAATAGATGAAAATTATTACAATTTACATTCCGTGTTTCTGCCCAGATGGCAGAATGTAAATCATAGCCGCCGCCGGCAGCATCATCATCATCATCATCATCATCCAAAAGAAAAGTAATTCTGATTGTAGAAACCACCAAGTAGTCCACTTGGAGAAAGACAGATGTTTATGTGATGTTTGCTGCCTTAAGGTGACTATTTTTTTCTACAATCAGAATTATTTTTCTTTTGTATAAAGATGATGATGATGATGATGATGATGATGATGATGATGATGATGATGGCGGCAGCGGCTATGATTTACATTCCGCCATCTGGGCAGAAACATGGAATGTAAACAGTGGGATAAAATAATAATAATAATAATAACAACAATAACAACCATAACAACATAGTTACAGATATGAAGATACCCCCTGCTCATCCTGCTTCAGAAAGGTTTAACTATATAGTTTATTTTACATTGGTAATATATTCTGTAATAGAAAAGAGTTTTGTTTTAAAAAGCAAAAATAAGACTTGATATATAACATTTATTTGGATCACTTTTCCTCATCCAAAAGTAACACTGCTGTCTCTTTTCAAAGGCAGCTTTCCAGAAAATCTTGCTGCATTAAGAAGAACAAGTTTTTATGTAAGCAGGTAAAGACTGTCACTGGCATTAGCACATCCAATAGGGACACTCAGCACCTTAATATGTTTTAAAGTCGCTGAAGATGAACCTGACATGAAACCCCAAAACTTTTCAATTACCTTCACCTATGCTGAAAAGAGGGAAAAAAGAGATACCCGATTCTTCAGGTAGTTCAAGAGAAAATACCAAGGTTTTCAAACATTTCAACAAAACTCCCTGCAAACCACCTGACAGGACAGGAAAGTATGGAGTACAGTATTCTTAATTCCCAAGCAGAATTTACATAAACAAAAAACTCTTATTTTTATTTATTTTCTCTTCCATAAATAACAGCTACATCTAAGTTGTAGTTTAGGGGATTCCTGAAGCATCTTTGCACTATAGCTAGAGGAGGGGGGGAAAGGCTGGGAACTTGATACTAACCAAGACAGGGAGCAAAATAAAAGAATAGACTGCAATGATATCTACACTTACTTGGGAAGAATTACCTTGAACTCAGGGGGACTTAGTTTGACTAGACAGATACATAATGGCATTAAGGTTCAGAAAGCCCAGTGGGGACCCAAATCTTGCAATGCTACAGAGTCAAAAAAGGTAGTGTGAGGGGAAAAAAGTCTAGCAGCTAACACCAAAACTATCAACAGATACATATTGTGCCACCTTCCCAAAACAGACAAGCCTCATTTCATTTGCACCTAAAAAGCACATGAAAATATATCAGTTTTACAGCAATAGGCTGCTTAGGTTTCTCATCTGAAAGTGAAGTGCTCACTGGAGCATTTGTGTTGTAACCTTAGCCTTTTAATAAACACTACTAATCAATTCTGAGAGACTTATTCTTTGGATTAACTGTTTCCAGTCTAGATTGATAGGAGGGAAGTGTGACAGCTAATGTGATTGGGATTTTGGCAAGGTAAGGAGAAACTAATCTATCTTTCAATACTATGGTACAAACTGAATATTCAGATTACCTGTTAGAATAAAACCTAGTTCCGTCATGTTGATAATGATCATCTACATAGAGAGAAGAAGAAGAAATTGTTGTTGCTAAAGAAGCTGCTTCAAACAGAGATGCTGTGCTTGGCACTAAATCTGGATGATGTCGGGACGCTAATACTGTATAGGAAAAAAGGGGAAAAAAGTCATTCCTGCAGAGAAATTAGTGCATGTAAAAGTTATAGGCTTACTTGCACTGAAAACACACAAACAAGATACACAAAGGCTATGTTTGTGTGATCATCCACAGTTTCCTTAAATAATGGTTTATAAAGTTATGGATGAATATTGGGGCTGTGAATACCTTCCTCCTTTTTAACCCCTTGTTGCATTCTGCCTTTGAACCAAGTATCTTCATTTACATTAACACAACACTCAATCTTAGTGCATATTAAGTCAGTAAGTTTTTTTAGGTAACCTGCTATTCTTTACCATTATTCTCCAAGAAGAGCTTAAAACATTTTTCCTCTTGTTTTAAATGAGAGGTGCACAACTATTTCAGGTCACAGGTTACATTTGAACTTTGCTTGACATAGCAGGGGGTTCATTTGAAAGAATTAGGCAAGTCTAGCATAAAAGCTAAATTTAATGTAATTTGATTAAATGTAAGTATAATTAAATACAATTAATATTACTTTTCAGAAGTATTAAAATTACTTTGACAACTTTTGAAGGGGCTCTGGAGGTCCATACTTAGGGTTTTGGGGAGCCATTATTTACCATTCTTCTGGAATGTCAGACTGTGCACCTCTGTTCTAAAGCTATCACTCTTTTCTTTTGGCAGAAGAACGCTAGCTTTGGAATCTAGAGCATCTTAGGTTCTACTGAAAATTACCTTCTTCATCAAGGCTACAGTAACTTTGTCCCTCCGTGAGTAAATCACGCTTTTCATCTTTCCAGTCTTGGTTAACTACTGACACAAATTCTTGTGATGTAGCTTTCAGAACAGCAATCGAATTGCATCGTTTTTTGGAAGGAGAAGACTTCAAAGCTGGGTTGTGAAAGAGAGATAATGAAGGTAATGTAAATATAGATTATTTTTATAGCCAACTTTCCATTATTATGCAAACTTTTACATAGGTCTTCCTTCTGCTGACTGTCCCAAAAAAGGCTTGAACAGATTACCCAAATAACTGCCATTATCTTAATATAATTTGTCTTCAGAAAAACCCACAATATATGCCAGTATAAATCTGAGAAATAACAGCTTTTATTTAAAGGTTAATAAAACTTGAATTCAACTTTTAAATGGCAAGGAGTTACTAAGAGGCTAAGTATCGGTTATAATAATGAATAGCATTTGTTCAGTTTTTGTATCTGGCACATATTTTACAAGAGAAACAACTTTATCGCGCTACAGGCAAAACTAGGCCCTACTAGGTGGGGTGCCACAGGGTTTGGTGCTCTCTACTCTCCTATTCAACATCTACATGAAGCCATTGGGTGAGCTCATCTGTTGCCATGGGTTAAGGTATCATCGGTACATTGATAATACCTAATTATATATCTCTGCCCCTGGCAAATTACACAATGCTATGAATATCTTATCCCAGTTCCTGGAGGCTCTGAGGGTCTGGATGGGGAACCACAGGCTTTACTGAACCTGGCAAGACAGAGTGGCTTTGGGTTTTGTGATCTGCCGGCTCAAGGACTATGCCATCTTTGGTGCTGGATGGAGTTGCTCTGCAGACCCAATGCACAATCTGGGGGTCCTCCTGGACTCCCGACCCCTGCTCAAGGAGCAGGTGGCAGTCATGGCTAGGAGAGCCTTTGCACAGCTTTGTGTTGTGCTCCAGTTGCGCCCATTCCTAGATCAGGAGGCAGTGCTCACAGTCACTCATGTCCATGTCACCTCCAGACATGGTGGTGCCCACCTTTTGGAACATTCTGCCCCCTGAAGTGACATTAGCTTCATCCCTGCTAATGTTCCATAAGTCCCTTAAGGCCTGGCTTTGCCATCAGGCCTAGGGGTCCCAGGAGACCGGGGATATTCTAAGATGGTTCTATTATTAATTTTCTCTCTCCTGTACTTGATGGTTTGTATTTTTAAGAATGATTGTTTTATATTTTTTAGCAATGATTGTTTCTATATACTTATTGTTTTATTTTATTGTTGTACACTGCCCAGAGTGTGAGATGGGCAGCTATATAAATTTGATAGATAGATAGATAGATAGATAGATAGATAGATAGATAGATAGATAGATAGATAGATAGATTTCCATGTTTTATAGTACCCATTACGTTGAATATTATAAGCATCCAGATCTAGATTTACTTACTAGATATGTTAATAGATTTTTAGATCACATACTATTAATTACTCTAGCCATAACATTTCAAAATGGTATTATAAGAATACTAAAAAAAAAATACAGCCACAAAATACTAGAATCAAGATACAAGGGGCTGTGTACAATCCAACTATTGAAAACCATTTATCTGCAGTGGCTTGGAGGAATTCCGGGGCTCCAATCTGTTCCACAGAGTGAACTGACTTCCCCTGCAACATATATACACGTCATTCAGTCAATGACATCAGTTTGGGTACATGCAGTCAAGCCAGGGTGCAGCTTCCTTTTGCTCCAGTCACATGTCTTTCAAAAAGGAAATTCCACTTGCAACCAACAAGCATTACTACAGAAGTGGCTGGGTTTTGCTTTAATCTGTCTTACAGTTCAATAGCAAGGCAATAATTGACTGAAACATCTCTGTTTACCTACTGACCAGATGACCAGTTCTAATTAGCTACTGGTTTTCTGCAAGCATTGAAAATTCATAGCATAGAGGTACCCAGTGATCCTGAATACTTTAATAATCTGCCCTCTCAAGGCCTGCTCCATTGCAAATTTGAAATTAGAAACTTGAGTAACAAAAAGCATAATTATCTGAAACTTAAGTATATAACTCATGAACTCCCGCTAATCAAAGCAAAGCTCCATCTAATCCAGGATCCATTTTGTCTTGCAACAGGCAATTTAGGAGTTTCTGAGAAGCCAACATCAGAGGCTTTTTGCTGTCTGCCTTGGCAGCATGCTTACAACATCAGCCTGTACTACTTATATTTTATTCTGTACTGACAATCCAACCTGAGAGATTAAGTCATCGTGTGGAGGTTATTTTCAAGTGTCCCTCTAGAAAAAAGTAAAGAGTGGCTTAAGTTAGTTAATAATATGGTGGTACCTACTCTGATTTTTTTTGAATACTCTGGTACTCATAAACTTTAAAAACCTGTCAGCATAAAAACTTGGTCGGTGGACTGAAACTGTGTCCTACAAGGAAAAAAAAAAGCTTTGTCAGTAAGAAAAGTGGGGGGAGGGGGTTATAATGTACAGATCAAACAATAGAACATGAAACTAAAATTTACTGTTTTTTCACTGCTGACTTTCTACTGGTAAATTTTCAGCATGCCATTTATTTATTTAATAGCATCATACTTAGAGAATATCACATCCATTTAAAAAAAAATTATAAAAGCACTTTGAAGGATATTCAGCAATGTCTTGAGAGTTACTAAGGTGATGTTTTCCAGTTCCTGACACACCCATAATGAAAAGACATTCCAGATACAGTTGTTTAAATAGATGGCAAGGTGTCCCAAGCACAAAACAGATGCAGATCTTAATGCTGAACAAAATAAGAGGAGGGAAAGGGAGGAGTTTTCCACATCACATGAACCACTGACATAATTCTAAAAACCATCAAGACGACTTACTCCATCATAAACAAGTGCTTTCCAAGAATGCTCCAACTTCTTTATTAACCTGATGATGATAAACCACAAAAAGGAGTTTAGTAAACAATTATCTCCTGCCTTGGAACAATATTACTTTAACTGAATCACTGCACAAAAAGCGAGAAATATTTTAAATTTACCTGTAAGACTGCAAGATATCAATAATGCCCATAAATAGCAGCAGTTTTTCTCCTCTGTAGCTTTTGGCTGGAATGCCTCCCATTCTGACAGAAGCAACAAAATAATTGTGAGTCATTGTAAGGCCTGCTTTCTAAAGTAACCGTAGAAATACATTAACAGCTAAAAGGTTTTTTTTTTAATCCTTAATGAAAAGGTTGGTATCATATGGTAGGGGCAATGCAATTGTTGAAAATGGATTTAAGCAACAGACTCTTCCCCTCCTCCACTTTTATTTACCTCTCTCCATGTCAGACGATTAAGATTATGCATTCCTCTGGTATATTTTTCCAAACAGCTGTGTCATAGCACTAATAATACTAGGGATTTAAGGATGTATTTATGTGCTTTTGTATATATAAAGCACGTGGATAAATCTATTGCTTTGTGGCAGAACACTTTCAGGGATTGAGTGGTGATGAGCTTCCGGGCTAAGAGGTTGTGCTCTAATTATCTGGTATCTGATGCTTTGCCAGCAATTGTGCCTGGCATCTTCAGAGGTTGAAGTGATCTGCTCTGTAGTACATTTCTTAACAGCTCACAGGCAACATTTTTTTAAAAAATCTATTTGACTTAATCTATCTTTTTATTGTTCATCAACTGAAGGATAGACTGACCCATTTTAAATATAGTACTCAGAACAGAGGAAAAATATAAAAACATCCAGTACACTTTTGTTTTCAAAGTGTAGGTTTTTAGAGACTTACGTATTGGTATTTTCTGTGATGACACAATCTCCTGATTTTCCTGGACCCTGAATTGACTCCATAGCAGTTGAATAAAGAACTCTTTGTCCTCCTGGGCGTTTAGAATCAGATGTGTTTTGAGAAAACTCGCCTTCTCTCTCTTTTGCCGCACTGTCCAGGATGTGGATTCCAAGCAGCAAACTATAATCCATAATTTTAAAGCTTTCCAGCACCTAGGATCAGATGTTTTAGATTGAAATTGGTTATGCTGCAAAGAGTATGTAAGAAAGACAAATGTAAACATATTGAATAGGCAGACAATAATTAGTGTAATTTGATATCCCAGTAAAAAATATATAAAATCTAAGTACCATTCTATTGCCAGGCCCAGAATAAACAGGATTTCCTCATTTCAAAAACCATTACAGCTTTATTGCTTTCATATACCCTTAGCAGATATGTCCCTGGGTTTGAGCCTGGTGAAACAGGTTCTCTATGAGTCAGAGTCAGGTTTTATTCCTGGTCACTAAGATAATTTCCCTTTTCCAGAGGAACTTGACTATGAATATTCTGAAGGTCTTGTTTCCTGGGCAATTGGAATATTCACATCTATTCTGTGATCTCCTATCTGCTTCACCATTAAAAGTGCAATGCCAAACAGAGTCTCTGGAAAATACAAATTCTTTTAGATAATAAAATTCACACATCCTGAATTTATTGAATAAATTGCAACCAAACAATATTTTATTTATTAAATTTTTCAGCCACCTATCTCCCCCCAATGGGGGAACTCTGGGTGACTCACAACAAACATTAAAAACACAAATATATATAAATACATTAAACATCAGTTAAAAACATTACTAAAAAGGGGAAGGAGAGTCCAAGATGATGAAAAAACTGAGGCTGAAGACAGAAGGCCTCTATGGGGCTAGCCATCCCCATGCTTGAGGTATTCCCTCCCCTCCCCACCCCAGGCCAAGTGGCAGAACCAGGTCTTCAAAGACTTATGGAAGGCCAGGAGTGAGGGGGCCAATCGCACCACCAATATATTGATCATCAATATATTGATTCTTTCTTATAATAGCCAGTTTTTCATTTTGTGGCTCCAAAGACAAGAACAATACTGCTAGATACTTTGTTTCTCCTCTTTCTATGCTCAGCTCTGAACTCCCCATCTAAGCTGGTTCATGCACTAAAAACTACAGTGGTACCTCGAGTTACGAATGCCTCTGCTTACGAATTTTGTGTGTTACGACCAGCTCCGGCCCCAAAAATTTACCTCATGTTGCAAACCACCTCGAGTTACGAACCGGGTCCGCGGCCATTTTCCCTCCCGTGACACGTGGTCCATGGCCATTTTTCCGCCCCTGACACGTGGTCCACGGCCATTTTTCCACCCGACACGTGGTCCGCAGCCATTTTCCGCCTGACACGTGGTCTGCGGCCATTTTCCCACCCGACACGTGGTCCGCGGCCATTTTCCGCCCCGACACGTGGTCTGCGGCCATTTTCCCACCCGACACGTGGTCCGCGGCCATTTTC